TTCACCTTGATATTTTTTTATATTTAATAAGATAGTAGCTTAACGTAAAGCAGATCTGATACAGAAAAAAATGAAAGTTCTACTCTTCCCTATCTAATTTTTTAATATGCTAACATTATAGATAGTGTATTTTTTTAGGTTATATACAGAATTTGTATATAATAAAATTCTTTAATTTTAAAATAATATATAAACTTATATGAAACAAAAAGATAAAATGTTAAACTTATAAGTTAAAATAGATTAATGTACTCTATAGTTAAATCGAATACACCATTGATGAGTAAAGCGAAAGAAGGTGAAAACCATCCAATGTTTGGTCGTAATCATTCAGTTGATACTAAAACGAGAATGAGCGTGGCTAAGTGAACTCCTGTTTTTGTATATTCAGTGATGGGCTTACATTTATTTATAGTTTTTCTTCTTTAAAAAAAGCGAGTAAATTTTTTAAGTGTTCGGATCATACGATTAAAAGATATATTATAAGTAATAAATTGTTTAAAAAACAATGGATTTTAACTTCAACTTTAAAAGATAACTCTACTTCTTCTTAGTTTATATTTATTTTTTTACCGTGAACTAATTCTCGTTATTTTAAAACAAACTCCCTCCTTTTTTTCACCGTGAACTAATTCTCGTTATTTTACAACTAAAACAAACCCTCCATTAGGCTCATTTTAATTTTATAATAATATAAAAGTAGTCTGGCTTCGCCTCGGATTTTTTCTTTTACTATAATTACAGTATGTAATAGTATTGATATGTAATAATAGTATAATTGCTTGGTCTTTATGTTCTTGGAGGTTTAATTCTTCTCTGAGAGTTGTCTTTCTTTTGTACGAAAACTCGTTATTTTATTTAGTTTCCTTAATTAAATAATAAATGGTTAGTTAGCATATTGGTAATGTATTGGTTTGCAAAACTTAAAAATGTCTGTTCGAATCAGGCACTAACCTATAATAGATTTAAGAATATTATAATTATAGATTTAAGTATATTATTTGTTATCTTAGATAGTGGTTATGAGTTTAACTATCCTCTTATAGAAGAATGACAATCCGTCTTGTTTTTCAATACTTGTTATATTAGATGATCTTTATTTTCTTATTATTGAACTTGCATCCCAATCTATTGATTGGGACTTTATAGCGGTTACGCGTTATAAAGCAGTGAATTTAATCTTATTGATTCCAGGATTTATAGTTATTCCATTGTTGAGGTTACTTAACAATTGCTCGTATTTTATAGGACGAGCCTAAATTGTTTTTGTTCAACTATCAGAGTTTTGGCTCTTCCTATCCCATTATAGTAAAAGAAAAAATTATGTAGGGTTTGCAATGGAATCTTTCATTAGGGTGTCTTAGATTATTATAAGCCAGATTCAGTATAATTGAGATTAAACATAGAACATTTAATATTTTATAAGATTATTTTTTGTTTGGGGCTCAGACAACAAACATCCTACGTTTTTTATATTTATTTAATCTATGTTTTTACTGAGTAATATTTATTTACTCAGAGGATCTATCTTACTCTTAAAGAGCTAAACTATAATAGGTCTTATATTAACATTCTTATACTTTATTAAAGTTTTTTCGGCCTCCCTACACCCTTTTGTGGATTTTTATATAATTATTTTTTATATCTACAAAGATAAAAATTGAATTAATTATAAATTCATTAGAGATAAACTCTTGATAGGAAATTAATAACATTAATTTTCTTTTATATTGTATAAGGAATATATTTATCCTTTTATTTTTTATTTTCGCCCCCCCCTCACTACACCAGAGGGGTAAGAGGAAAATCTATATAAAATTTAAAGAAAATTTAGTAAAAAGATTTGATTTCTTTAAAAGTACCTCGAATTTTTTAATGATTAATTAAAATATAATATTTTCCTGAATCAAAAAAGTATATTTTATATATAAATAGAATAAGATTATTCATAATTCTTTATTCTAAATAAAATAATACATTATTAATTATATATTTATTTAGTTTTTTAAAAAACATCTTTTCTGATTAGCTAACCGAATAATTTAAATTCGAATTAGGTAAACTAATAAATAAAACGTTTCTAAGGGTCTAAGAATTAAAATTAAATATTGTCCCTCAGATCTACTTCCCGAAAAAGGAAGTCCAATCGTCCTTGGCGTTTTACCTGAGTTTTTTCCATTCCGAAAGAATGGGCAAAAACAAATAGTGACAAAGCTTTTATTCTTAAATAAATTAATAAGTTAAAAGTGTACCTTTTCTTAATGTCGAAGATTAAGTATAATAATTTTTAAATAGTTTTATATAATTTATTATTTTTATAAACAATAATAATTTAAAAATAGTTTAAAATAATTTATTATTTTTATAAACAATTATCGTTTTAAATATTTAGCTAGTTTTATTAGTATTCTGGACTTTCCTTTAATTAATCCTAAGACAAGACAAGACAAAACTTGTCTCTCAAATTTTTAGCAAAAAAACTTGAAAAATTATGCGGAGGGGGGAGCGAATAAAAATTTTAATGAAAATTTATCATCTATTTACCAACAATTTTTAAATGTAACATAATTATATTTAAAAAGGCTTTTTTCCAAATTCTGTTTACCCAAGCTTCTCTTGGGTGTTTAGAAAAAATTGTATTTACTAATTGCTTTTTGTAGTAAAATATTTGATCGAGACCCTTTAATATGATTATTAAAACGAGTAGACAATGTTTTTGAAGATCCTATATATAATTTATTATTAGATTTACAAACAAATCCATAAATGCCGGATTTATTCTTTAATTCTTTTTTAGTTATATCTTGAATCTCTGTTAAATGTAAATAACCCATTGCTAATTCAATGGTTGAAAAAAAAGGTTGTAGTCGTGTCATTGTTTATTTTTAGTACTTTCAAAATGTTAGCAAGCGCAATTGTCAAACTTTTTTTAAGTAACTATACCCGCGTTGAGTACTAATTACATCTAGAACAGCTACCTGTGCGATAAACTATAATTTTATTTTAACCTTAAATTAAATTTCCGATATAACTCGGATAGAATATCAGGAATAGGGGAGTAACCTTCTATCGAAAAAAGGATTATTGCCTCTTTTTTTTTTTATAAAAAAAAGGCACTGGTTTCCATTTACCTATTACTGGCCATTTTAGACTATTATAAGCAAAACGAGACTCCAGAAAGCTAGTATAATTAGACAAATATCTTTCAAATATCGTGAGAGGGAATAAAATATTTTCGAGAGGAATCAAACCTCTCTTTTCAAAAAAATAACCAAGCTATAAATATCTATTTATTATTACATATCAATACTGTTATTATATTATTTTTTTAATAATTCTTAGTAGATAATAACCATTCGTTTTTTAAATAATTTCCTGCTTTTTGTATATTTTAAAATAGTATTATATGAAACATTAAAGAGTTCACCAGCTACCATACCCAAAGACTGGGGTGTTTAGAAATATTGCTTATTAAATAAGTGATACCTAAACAAAAAATTATAGATCCAGCAATAGTATATATCCCTACTATCGCTTAATAATAAGTAGAATCTATTATTTAGCAGTTGTGGATAAGATCCATTTTTCTTGAAACAATTCACCACTTTTTACATATTTTAATATAGTAGGGCATGAAACTTTAAAGTGTTTGCTAGCTTTATTAGCACTAGAAAAACTATTAATTAAGGTAAGCTCCTTACTACAATAAACAAAAATAGCGGTTCCTAGGTTAGCACTAATTTTCTCTAAAGTTTGAACAGAATGTGTTTTACCAAACATTGGATTATTTTCACCTGTTCTATCAATACTAACCATAGGATTTTTCTCACCAAACATAGCAAGACTAATTTTAGCTTTAGTTTCCTCTGTATGATTATAACCTAAACGAGATCCTGCAGTTATAAGTATATTATAGTGAGGGTTTAGAGTATCTAAAAAATGCTGTTCCCTTTCAAGAATCAACTTACGAGCATCTTCTTTTGATAAATCAGTAATTTCTATATATTCAAGTATAGTTAGAGAAAACATAATATGACCGTAAGCAGCAAGTGCATTACAAATTTTCATTGTTTTGTTCCGTTCTAAATAAGTTTTAGAATAATAATCTTTTAGTCGAGAAGATAAATTAAAAGATGAGCCGATATATATTTTTTTAGATTCTAAATGAGTCCACTGATAGATTCCTACTTTATCCTTATTATCAGATAGAATTGAAGATTTATCAGTCTCAGCATTGTTATAAACTATTACAGGTAAAGTACAGAATAAAACTGAAAATCCTGATTGAATCTCCGTGAAGGATAAATTTGAACAATAAGTAAGTATAAATTTCATTTGTAAGTATATTTTATAATTTTTATATTTCAAAAACAACACAATATTATATCTTATAAAATTTATAAAACAATATTACGTCTAACGTTTTTTGTATAATCCTGTATAGAATTATAAGAGATAAAATTACTTATATATACAACATAGTACTAAAGAACTTATTAAAGATCTAAAAACAGCCATATAAAATAATATAATTCGATCCTAAATTAGTTTTTAATCTAAGGCTAGAAAAGCCGCCTCGTATAATATTAAAATATTACGGGTTTAATATTTAACTAAATAAGGACTTTAATCTATTATAAGAGAGAAATTGCTCCCCTTATTTGAAAAATTAAAGAATTTATAATATACAAATTCTGTATATTATTTAATAAATTACAACCTTTTATATTAAGGTAATAATAAGAATAAGACAAGGAAGAGTCGAACTTCCATCAGTTCCGTTATGAGCAGAAAGCTTTACGTTAAGCTATTGTCTTATTAATAATAAGCAAGCAGAAGAAAAATTATTTATTAATGTTAGCCATCACTATTCAGTCGATATAATCCTAAGTTCCAAATAAGCATTATCTATCTTTATTTAAATAAATAATAATTTTATTTACGAAAGATAATTTCTAATGAAATGAAAGAATTGAACTTTCACTATCTTACCATTAATTTAGGAAATGAAAGAATTGAACTTTCACTATCTTATTGTAAGTAAGACGCTCTTCCGTTAAGCTAATTTCCTGTTTATTATTAAAAAAAGATAAGAGAGAGGGGTCGTGTGCTTAATTTAATTAGATGAATTTTTATAAAGACTTATCTAAATTCGGTAGAAATCAGCTGAGCTGAGCTATATTAATAAGAATATCTTAAATGGAAGATATAGGTTATAATATGTTACTGGGAGAGAACTTATTTATATTAAATCCCCCCTCCGCATGCTTGCGGTGGGGTAAGGTAAGATTTTACCACTTTTTGAGAAAGCTTCTTATTCAAAGTCTAATTTTTAAAGTCATTAAGAAGAATTGAACTTCTATCTAATAAGCATGAATTATTCGTTTTACCGTTAAACTATAATAACTATTATTAGTATAGTTATTAATAAACTATTTCTTTTTCAATTACTATTATGATGTTTAAATATATCTTTACTTCAGATAATACATAAAATTTTTGATTTGTCAGTATCAGCATTAAGATATACCATTATAGGTACTAAAGATCCATTATTATTATATTATTTTATATATAAATGGAGTTGGGTTCTAGTCTAATCAGGTAGGACACTTAAATTTGACTTAAGAGATTGGTAGTTCGAATCTACCGAACCCAGTTAATTTAATAAAAATAAACTGGTCCTCTATATCCCTACACGATAGTGGAGAGGAAATAGGCCCGACATAATTTTTCTACACCTACGGCGTGGAAATAGTATATTAGATAATGATATTTTTTTTTGGAAGGATCGTCATAGGCAAGACAAAGTATTTGCTAAATCCTTAGAGTTCCTCTTTGAGAGTTCGAATCTCTCTTCTTCCGTTTATAAATTATCTAAAAGGTTTATTTAGTAAATCTATTTTTTTTTTATTAAAATAATTAAACATAAATTATATTTAATGCCTCTAGTAAATAACGTCTTTATACTAATTAAAAAAGAACTTAACGAAAGATGTAAAGCATCCAAGGCTGTGCCTTGGGGTAATACCTAAGATAAATGAAATTATGATTAATTCTGAGTAATAGGCTTTAAAAGAAACTTTATTCTTTCTCTCTTCTCCTAATTTCTTAAATCTGACCCCAATTTTTCAACGTTTCTACAGAAAAATAGTTCGATTAAGGATCATTATACAAAATAATGGTTTAATAACACTAATTAATAAAAGGGAGGGTAACTACTTAATATATCTACTCAATACAAGTCATTTATTTGTTACTATCTGAAGCGTCCTTGTTAGAACTTGCTGATAAATTTCCAGAAAGGGAGAAAATCCACTTATCTTGAAACAATTTACCATTTTTAAGATATTTTGCAACGGTAACATGAGTAGTTTTAAAATGTTGAGCAGCTTTTCTAGCAGAAGAAAAAGTATAAGCTAGTGAACCTTGAGTATCATAAACATAAAAAGTACCACCACCTTTAGCTATACTTTGTTTAGTTACAGTTCCAGCAGAAGAGTTTTACCTTTCTGAGCAGAACTCATTTTAGCTATAGTTTCTGCACTATGAGTTCTACCAAACATAGGGTGATCTTTACCTGTTCTACCAAATAAAGGGTTTTTCTCACCAGTTTTGTCAATGCTTTTCTGAGTTTTACTCATTTTAGCTAATGATTCAGGTGAATGTTTAAACCCCATAGAATTCCCTGCAACCTTTAATATATTGTAAGGTGGTGTTAAAGAATCTAAATAAAACTGCTCTCTTGCTATTAGATTTTCAATCTCACAATACTCCAATATATAAAGAGAAAAGTTATTATGACCATATCGAATAATTGCTCTTTGAATTAGATTATTTGTTCGAACTAGTTCCTTAGAACTAAAATATCTTGCTAATCTAATTCTAAGATTATAAGCAGAACCAATGTAATATTTCCCATTAATATTGTTTAGCCATAAATAAATTCCTATACATTTATTATTTTCCTTATATATTAAAGTTTTTGATTCTTGAGCATTTAAGTATTCTTTAGCTGGTGTATTAGAGATTAGCCATGTTTTGAAAGTAATGTCATCTTTGCCATTAGATAACTCTTTAGAGTCACCCTGATCTGAAATATTATTATCACTAGATATACTTTCTTTTCTCAATGGATTTAGTAGTATAGAAACAAATGATAATAATATATTAGGATCTTCGATTAAATAATATGATGTTTGAAATAACCCTCCTAATATTAATATATCTGATAGAAAAATACTATATATTAATATTAAAAAAGCACTTCCGGCCGACAGGCAGATTGTTGATAAATTAAGAGAAGCTAATGGTATCGTTAATACTTGAAATAAAACAAATAATAACATAATTTTTTTAACCTTTTTTAATTCACCTTTTCTTCTTTATAACTATCCAATACATTTACACCTACCCTATTTTTAAGCTGAACTTATTATTATAAAGGAATATTTGAAGGATAAATAAAAAACTTTTGGGTGTTAACTGATTGGTAATTAAGAATCCAATTACAATAGTAACAATTTTATATTAGATCGAAGACAGAAATTGATCTAATAAATCCACGCCCTTTGGCGTAGTATATTAAACCCCTCTACTATAAATTATTCCTTGCCCCTCCGCAAACCTGTGGAGGGAGTAGAAATTAAGGATGTAGATAATATCCATTGTTCTTTAAATATAATATCCATTGTTCTTTAAATATTAAATCATTTTTAGCATACTTTAAGATAGTAAGATGATGAGTATTAAAGAATTCGCCAGCTTTATTAGCAGAAGTAAAAGTATTAATAAGAGTAGTCAGAAGAATAAACAAAAAATAGGTGTACCTTTGGCAATGCTCATTTTTATTTGTCGTCTCTAAATTATAAGTGGAACCTAGTTTTTGCAAGGGGAATTATTAATTGTCGTGTCTTCACTATGATTATTTCCTATTAAAAAGACAAGGGTTTTTTTTATTCATAATAATATTCTTTATATAGGTGGGGTGTAAAAATATAAATTTCCCTTTATTATAAAAATACATATGGTAAAACAATAAAATCTATCCAGGTAATATTTTTAACAAACTAATTACAAATTTATTTTTGATTTTCTTTAGATAATAATACAATTTTATACGCAGGATTTCCATACAAATAAAATTATTCAGTGGTTTTTCCATGGTAATTATGTCAGCGCAGGATAACCATACAAATTTAACATCACGAACACATTAGATAGGCGCTCAAGGCAACCCGCTATGTTTTAATTATAATTAAAAGGTAAAGCCGTTGGGCTTTACCTGCAAGTCCCTAGTTTGTAATGTCTTATATCCCTCATAATTTCACATCCCATCTCTGGTCTGGCGGCCCAAGATTTGGGCTCCCCATATTTACTAATAATAAAACTAATAGTTAATCCTATTAAACAATATAAAAGTAAGCAACTAATAAATAATAATAAATATTGTAATTGAATATAAGGATTATTCCCAATTATAGAAAGTAATTCACTACTTTCGAAAAGATGCGATGCGATGCGATGCGATGCGATGCGATGCGATGCGATGCGATGCGATGCGATGCGGGGAAATTATTAATAAAATCTGATGATTTAGAGGGTGTATTATTAACAATATTAAATTCAGAAGATGAGTTATTAGAAACCATAAAATAAAAATCCTTAAGAAAAGCTTTATCAGCCCTACTTAAATTTCTTAAACCACTTGAAAAATCCATTGTATTTAACACATTAACTAATTCCTTAATTTTAGACACCGTATTTAAATTCATGTTTTTTAATTTATTAAAATCCTTTATTTATTAAATATTTTATTACAACTTTACACGATCATTTTAACAGGCAACATGACAACCCCAACAAATTAAACCAACTTTCATACACTCATTATTGAAAAACAGGTGGGGGTGTTTACCCCTTACCCCTCAATCCTGATTAAACTGTTCAATGATAATAATTAAATCTACCAAACACATTAAAACAATAAAATAAAGATTTTCTTTACACCATATCATCACAATCGAATCATATATCTATCTATAAAAGCTAATTTTAAATGTTTGATTAAAATAAACTAAAGTCCCGACTATATAATTAATGATTAACTATAATAAACGGACATAGCCAGTTACACACACATTATTTATCCCCCCCCCGCAAACTTCGCGGGGGGGACAAGAATATTACTTTACTTTTTATCTTTTTAATTATCAAATATATTATAAACCATCATACAGGTTTGGATTCTTAGCAATTAATTAGCTGTGATGCTTGGGGGTGTTAAGTGATTTAGTGTTAGTTCCTAAATCAAATAACGTGTTCTCTAAAATTCCTACTACTGGTAAGATTACTAAGAAGTAAGAGAAATAGAAAACTGTAGAGATCTGACCTATTAATACTAAAGGTTCTTCTGGATGGTTCGCACCAATCCAACCAAGAATCAAGAAGTTACATACGAATAACCAGAAGAAAAATTTCATAATTGGTCTGAACTGCATAGATCTGATTCGAGAAGTATCAGTTAATGGAGCTATTAATAAGATTAAAATAGCAGCCACCATTCCAATAACTCCAAG